TAACTAACCATTAAAAATACACCCTCCAAATGATGTTAACTGCACACTATTTGACTTGGAATATGCCACCCTTCCTCTAACTACCAACATGCCTCATTTTTGTATTGGTGTGTGCTTAACAGACAGAACATATTACATTTGTTTTTACGGCTATATACATTACAGTGGAATTAAAAAATGTGATTTCTTAAGGTAACATTTGCTCTCAGTGAATTTAAATCTAAATCTAGGCTAGTTTTTGTTTTGTGTGTGATGTTTTTTATCTTCCCCCAAGAAGATTCATTTATAAAAGTGATAAGATACTAGAAATAGCTCTTACCCATAGAAACATAGAAAATATGTCAGTGTTTGAATTTCAACACCATCCAGCTCTTGCTTATCTCTCCACCCCTCCAGGGTCTTATATTTCAGAGTTAAAAAACAAGAAAATTAAATAACATTTGTTCTTTATTATTAAAGTAAAAGCCAACCTGGGTTTTAATATAACTCTTAGCTTCAAATGGGTCATAATGCCTTGTCATTTCTCTTTTGTCCTGACATGACCGAACTGTAGAACACCCACGTTGCTGATAACATGGATTCCCCTGGTTCTAATCACAAACAGAACCTTCATAAAATGTTTAATGAATTCTTGGTTAAGGTCTAGAAAATTACAGGGAATATTTTGTTTATCCTTATTCTTATCTCAAAATGACTTTCTCTTTAATTATTAACATGGGAATGATGCAGTGGCTCAAGGTGACACAGTCAAGTATGACTGAGTAATGACTGAAATGTACACGTGAAAAAGATCTGAGAATCCTGTAAATAGGCAAGGACATATTTTAAGAATTTAGCATGGAAATAATCTTTTCATGCCTTTGAGACATAATATAGTATACTGGGTGAAATTATAATCTGATATATTCACTGATGTTTGTTATTATAGTATTTTTCCATTAAAATACATATCCACGTTAGATCAGAACAAAGAATATAAAAACCATACAGAATTCAACGACTCAATAAGTATTCACAGATATGTACTATTAACATTTTAATGTACCTCCTTCCTCTTCTCGAAATTGGCATTACATGGCATATTTTAGAATGCTATATTTGCTTAATAATATATCATGAACATTTTTTTATATCATTACATATTAATTATATATAATTCTATCATATAGATATATCATAATTTATTTAACCAATCCCTGTTGCTGAACATTTACATCATTTGCAATTTTCTGTTATTTCAGTAATATTACCTCAAAAAATCATCTTATATCAATATGATTGAACCTAAATTATTTTTCTTATGATAAATTCCTAAAAGTGGAGTCTTGGCTTAAAGGCTATAAATATTTTTATGGGTTAGAATAAATATTGCTTTTCAGAAAAATGTACCATTTTATGTTCCCATTAATAATTTGAAAGTGCCCCTTTCTCCACATCTTTGCTAACACAGAGTGTTACAATTTTTTATGCTTGTCAATTTGATGGACAAAAAGTATGATATATCACTGTTATCTACTTATAGACTTAACTCTAGCCTTAGATCAGAACACAGAACACAGAAGTAGAGAAGGAAGCCTTGTCAGTCTGTCTTATTGCTCTAAATACTAATTTTAGATTGATGCCTTTTCACTGATCCATTCAACAAATGTTTTCTGAGTACTTCTTCAAAAAAAGAATTTAGAAGGTAAAATTTTATATTTGGCAAGTTAGTTATATTCCTCAGTTGATGGCACATTAGCATGACTGTCCATGCCAGGATGCTCTCTTGTTTTATTATTTCCCCGCCTTTCATCCTGATCCTTCCTTTTAAGCTGATCTCTTTCATAAGCAGCCACTCTGGCATGTTTAACATATATATTGGATATGTATGCTTCCTTGAAGAATATATAGTGTTTTGTGGTTTTCGGTGTATGCATTTTAAATTTACACAAATTGTATTCATAAATCTTGCATTATGTTACATTTTCCAGTACTAAACACTACACCAAAAAAAAAAAGTTAAACTCTATCCTTGTTGTTGTGAGCATGTTTAGACTTTTACTTCTAATTGTACAAAAAATTCCATGGTGTACACCTGAGGTCCAAAGAAGGAGGAAAACATTTGTGCTCAATGCATCATTCTGGGAGGATCAAAGGAACATTTTTGTGTTATTTCTTGAATAAGAGAGATCATGATTAGTTACGTGACTACACATGTCTACCACTGGAGAGGGCTGCGTGAAGTTTTAGGAAAGCTTAAATTGGTAGCACCCCTAGAGTATCAACATTCCTGGGAGAAGTAAGGCTGATCTGTTTATCCTGCACATCCAGTGGGGCATGTGCAGCATGCCACTGACTTTGGGGGCAGCTGGTGTCACATACTGTGGCACTCAAGGAGGCACTCAAAAATATTTGTTGAATAGCTGAGTGAAAAGGAATCAGCCTAAGATGAATCTTAGAGCAATAAGGTCGGGAGACAAGGATCCCTACTGCCTAAGTAGTGACGGACTTCCAAGGAAACAGCTTGTAGTTCATGGTAATTCACCCATGTCTTGTTCTTTCCTTTCTGAGCACTTAGGGTGCTACATGTTCTAGCCCTTTTGCAACTGGATGAAACTGCCTGACACTTGAAGCCGATGGAATATGCATGAAATTGATACTTGCCATTTCTACATTCAGGCATGTAGGAGCCAGTGTGCCACCTCCAAGCTCTCTCTTCTCTTCTCTGGCAACCTAGGAGGTCAAACATTCCAGATTGTGCAGCTATAAGATGGCAAACATTAGACAGACAGCCTTGGGACTGTGTGGAGAGAGACCACCTTACACCCTGGCCAATCCACATTGGGAGCAGGTTTGGAATGTGGGAAGAGGGGGTTGCATTTTAAGTAATGTGGCCAGGGAAGCCATGATAGAGATGGAGGTGGCGACCTGAAAGCCTAAAGGAAGTGAGAAAGTACAGCATCTGGGATAGGAGCAGTCTGAGCAGACAGAGCAGCAAGTGCAAGGGCTCCAAAATGGGACGGAGTTTGGTATTTAAAGGAAGTGGGACAAAGTCAGTGTGGCTGAAGTAGAGTGAACAAGAGGGGAAGTAATAGAGATAAGGCCAGACGGTGACCGGAGGTGGGGGAGAACAGATTGTAAGGCTTCACAGGTCATTATAAAGACTGTGGCTTTCACCTTGAGTGGTATGGGGGGCATTGGAAAGTTTTGCATGTTGGAGTGACATGATTGATTACATTTAACCTATGTTGAGAATAGATCAGGGCCAGCAAAGGGAAGAGGCTGGGTGTGCAGTTAGGAGGCTACGGCAATATTCCAGGCAAGGGAGGGTGGTGGCTTGGAGTGGGATGATAAAAGAAGAAGTGGTACGAAGCAGTCAAATTCTGGGTATATTTTGGAGGTAGCACCAATAGAATTGCAGATGATTAGATGAGGGGTATGAGAGAAAAAGTCAAGGATGAATCCCTGGTTTTGGCTTGTATAACTGGGAGAATGGAGTTGCCATTCACTGAGACGGCGAAGACTGTAGGAAGAGCAAGTTTGGGGGACTATCAGGAGGTCAGGTTTGGATGGGTTAGGTTTGAGATGCCCATTGGATATGCACATGTTGATGAAGGGAGACTACACCAGGCTATGTTGGCAAGGAGACTGGACTGGTGAGAATGACAGGGATGATGACACTCTTTACCTAGGAGATGGAGGTCCAGGTTCTCTAAGTGGAGACTGAGCGCATTTGGGAGCCCAATCCCTGATTTCTATTGGGTAGACTGGCCTGGAACTGAGTTTCCCAATCACTAGGATTAAGCTGAATTTCTACAAGACTAGTTGTTGATGTAGTAGCAAATACATCTCCACATGAGAGCCATCCATTTGGCAGCCAAAAGGCCAGAATTTCACACTCTGTGTGAAAAATCACCTAAAACCACTATTTTCAAAGCCTCTGCCTCCTTGACTCTGGGATTCATTTCCAGGTTTCCAGAACTCAGGGATGAACACTGAAAGTATATTTTAAGGCAAGGCAATTTATGCTTATTCTTCCAGCGTAAAAAATTGCATTTCCACATCAAAGTCATGTTTGGTTTCTAAATCTGTTACCATAGCAAGAACTATATTCCTCAGCTTTCCCTGGTTGCATTGTTTATATTTCTTAACCAACAACATCTAAACCTTTTATTTTACTCACTTGGAACTGCCATTTATTCCAACCGTTTTCTTCATGAAACATTTATGTATTGATTTTCCATGCCACCTCCTTTCTTTTTGGAGAAATGATTAAAGGTAGGTATTGTTTGTTTTCTGATGCCAGACCTACACCACTGTTCTCCAGGCACCACACATTCCACTCCTAATTGTTGCACATGTGTTGAACTTGACAGCACCCTGTCCATGGCTGGTAAATAGTGATTCATTCCGTATGCTGTAGCTCTGCACAAGTGTCATTTCTGGGAGGTAGTACTCATTGAATGCTTTGTCAGTTGTTATTTCTGTTTATCTCCCTGTTCATTTACATAATTCCTTACTTTGTGGACTCATTTTGTTTTTTGTCCTCTTCCTGCTGTTCTCCCTTTTGATTTTCTCTGTTCTCTTATTCCTCACTGAAGAGAAACTGAATGTTTTGCACATACTTGCCATGCCAGTCCTGGGGAAAGCTGTGCTTCTCCCACTGAAAGGAAGGGTTCAGTATTGTACCCTTGACCTATGTAAGTCATGTAACTCAGATGCTTGTCTGTGTGGCCCCAAGTAAAAAATTAATAGGAGACTTCATTTGAAAAACTTGTAACGGGAAATACCCTTTGTTGGAGTATATGGAGCCCAAAGAAACTATAGTGGGATTGAGGGAGCCACAAAGGCAAGACTCCAAGGTCCCTGATTCTAGAGGAGAAGAGGCCATTTCTTAGAGGAGTTCTTAACCTGGTGGGCAGGGCCACTGTGTATGCTTGTGTAGATTGTGTTCTACACTACGGTGCTCAGCTGAGGGGCAGATGGGGCCTGGAATGCAGCTTGTGGTCCACCACGTACCCTACTTGTGATGATTAATTTTATGTGTCAACGTGTCTGGGCCACTGGGTGCCCAGATATTTGGCTACACATTATTCCAGGTGTGTCTGCGAGGGTATTTCTGGATGAGATGAAATTTGAATCAGTAAACTGGGTCAAGCAGATTGCCCTCCCCGATGTGAGTGGGCTGCATCCAATCAACACTGAAGACCTGAATAGAATAAAGCGGCCAGTAAGTGAAAACGTATTCTCTGCCTGACCAGCTTCAAGTTTGGACATCCACATCTTCTCCTGCCTTTGGACTCTGACTGGAACCTATGCCATCACCTCTCCTGGTTCTCAGGCCTGGGACTCAGTCTGGAACTACAGCATTGACTGTCCTGGGTCTCCAGCTTGTGGATTGTAGATCTTAGGACTTCTCGGCCTCCATAACTGTATGAGCTAATTCCTGATAAAGAGACACACTAATACACTACTTGAAGCACCACTCAAGGAAGAGATGGCTTTTGTTAATTCGCATAAAGTTTCCCTGTGGACTAACCAAGGCTCTGGCAGTGGGTGTGGAGTTGGGTGTGAAGAAGTAGGAAGGGGGCTGACATGTATAATTTGAAGAATTGTGTTCCCCTTCACTCCCATGTAGCTTAGAGTTTGGCTGTGGTTCAAAGTTCCTGGTCTCAGCATGAGTCATAATATAGGTGATTCTTACAACTACAAGGGGATGGAAACAATTAAGAGCTTTGGTTCCTCTCTTAAATGGTGAACCCTGAGAATACGTTTGCTGGCTGGAGAGAGAGAGAGCAAAATAGGGATGAGTAATATCCATAAAAAATACTCAAACTTTGCATTTCGGTGGGGCAATGTGTACTTTTCAAAACATGTTCCCATCACTGTTTTAATACAAAGAGATATGACTGATGCTTGTTATCATTCTCATTGTAAAGTGCAGAAACAGCTGCAAAGGGGACATTTGGATGTCCCTGTGGCTAGACAGTAGCTAGAGGTCAGGTTTCTTCTCTAGTTGAGCTGCTGTCCAGGCTCCTGGGCTCTTTCCAGCCTTCTTCATAGGCCTGATGGAACACTCAGAACACTAGCACATTCTTCCTAAGCATTTTATTTCTCAGAAAAAATACAATAGTTTGATTAAGAACATACTTTCCTTAAAGAACAAACACCAGAGATCCTGGCTGGTGCAGATTTAATTTTTTTTTCCTGAGAAAATGGTCATGTTTACTTGGACTGTAATTATATGTTTTAATCTAGTTTTCTATTTTCACTGTCCAAAGTCTCTTCTCTTTCAATTACTGTGAAGGCAAGAATCCACACATACACAAATGTGCGCACATGCATACACACACACACACACACACATCTCAGGACTGTTTTGTTCAGCAATTTTCTAAAAGAGGACTCGAACTGCACATACTCAGGGCACTGTGGTAGCACCCAGAACACTGCAGTAGAGGCTAAATGTGAGGTCATGCTGGCAGTACCTGACATATTGCCTTCAGAATAAGAATTATTGTTGGTGCTCAGCCACAGGGGGTGTGAAAGAGTAGCAGTGATATCGCCACGCAGTTGAGAGTTCTTTGTGCCCTAGGGAGAAGATGAAAGTCAATGAACCAGAGAACCAGTGTTTTGTTTTTGTTTTGTTTTCAGCTGCTACCCAAATTGGTTTCATGATTTCTTGCACTGTTACGTAACCTGCCCTCTGGAGCATTTAATGCAGATTAAAGCAACACAGTCAGCCACACTTCCAACTTTGGAAAGAACACCTCTGAGGAATGGCACATTATGTTTCTGAGCATCATAACAAATACCTAAATCATCTTCTAAAGTTTTGTGATCTTCATATACACACATCATCCTAGGAGGGCTGGCTAAAGTTCTAGGCTGAGAATGTTTGAGAGAAAATGGTAAATGCAGATCTGAGTCAACCCTGAGAATTATCTTTACCTAATGTCACTGCTTACCAAAAATCTAATTCTAGTTCCCAAGGCTGCACCCTGTGAGGGACAGAAAGGAGTTTAGCGAACACTGTTTGGCCCCAGTTTACTTATACCCTCCAGGAAGAGACGAGACATCCAGGAATGGAAGAGCAGTAAGCCCTGTTTCCCTGTTTCTCCTGTCCTCACATAGGACTGAAGCTTGAATAAATCCACAGTGGAATTTCCTCTAAGCCAGGGAATTCCTAAATTCTAGAGGAAATTAAGGAATTTCCTCTAATTCCCCAACCCTCTATTTGCCATTGGTTTAGGGCAGCACTTCTCAAACTTTGATGTTCTTAGAAATAGCCTGGAGATCATCAAAAGGCAGATTCCCATTCAGTAGTTCTGGAGCGGGGACAGAGATTCTAAATTTCCAGCACGGTCTTTGGTGAAGCTGATGCTACTGGTCCATGGACCACACTATGAATAGTAAAGGCCCAGAGTGGAGTTAATTCCTCAGGTACTTGGTTCCTTTCTGCTCTTTCTTTTGATGCCACTACTGTGTAGCTGGGGCCTCTACTCCCTATTGCTGCCATTTCCAGCCTCATTCCCCATCTATTGCTAAGAGTGTTTAAGATTGGTCTCCCATCACTCAGGCCTGCTTAGAGTTAGTTCATTTGGCCAATGTTAAATGGTCTAGTTTCTAGTTCTTTTACAAGCCCCTAAAGGATATCAATTACTTTCAGGTTTGAAAGAACTTGGAGTGAGTTTCCCAGAAAGTGAAATTCCTCCACTGCCCTCAATATTCCCTCAAAGGCTGTGGTGGTCTTTGTCTCTTCTTCTTGCTGGGGAGTGTTAACTCACTGTATACAGGAGGTAACATTAGCCTAAAAATCTAATTCATGGCCTCTCGTGGGTAGACAAGTGGTACAAATGCAAATGGGATTCATAGGATACTCCCAGGCATCCCAAACCCCCAGAAATGAGTGTGTGAATTAGGTTGTTGCCATGACTCTCACTGCAAAGAGAACAAACACAAATTGTGTGAGGGAGGCAGGCACAGGGGTCTCACATGCTATTCTACTTCCTGATTACATCAGAGTCAGCCAAGAAGCAGCTTTCAAACACATTTCCACAGCCTCACCCCTGACCAACTGAATCGGTGTCCCTGGGGAAATTTCTATTGTTATAAAGCACACAGTGCCTAGGGGCTTGCTGTGATGATCAGCAAATATCCAACACCTGCAATTTATCCAGTCGCTCAAACAGCCACTGAGCACCCACTGCAGGTCATGTATAACACAAACCCAGCTCCTCCCTTCGTGCCTTTCCACCTGAAAGTGGAAAGTAAACAAACAAAATAAGAATAATTGCAAACGATAAGTGTTATGAAGGAAACAAACAAGGTGACAAACTCACAATGAAGGAGTAGGTCCTTTAGATGACCTGATTAGCGATGGTGTCTCTTTGGCAGTGACATTAGGCTGTGACTTGAAGGGGTAGGAATTATCCAGCGGCACAGGGGTGCTTAGGCAGACAGCGTCATATGTGAACAACCCTGCGGGAAAGAGCAGCTTTAGGAACTTCTGTAGATGCCACCAAACCAAAGAAACAATTACAACTCCTTCCCTGCAAATTATTCTGTGATTAGGACTCCTTTCCTAGGTGCCAAAGGCATAAGGACTCCCTTTCTGTGAGCTTCAGAGCCTGATTTCATTCTTTGCTTGCTATACTGCTAATGTCAAAAACTTGAGTCTCATCGAATACACCACTGAAGACCCCCATGCCACTCCTTGAAGGCGGCGTGGAAGACTGTGGCCCTGAGAGCCACCTGGGGAGCCCTCAGACTCCTCCTTTCTCTTCTGGTGGAGGTGGTCGTCAGGATGATACGCCATACATACTGGCCTGAGCCTCAGATTCCTCATCTGTAAAATGGGATCAAAATGCCTGTCCCATATTGATTCAATAAGATCGTGTGCCTCATCCACGAGAGTTCTTGTCCAGCCACCATGTGACTATGGCACCTTGGAAGGTTCTATTCTGAAAGGCACTGAATGTACCTCAATTTTTGGTCTGTCATTTATCATTTTTGCTTAATGGGGGCATTATAAGCCAACATCCCAGGTGATATGGATGCTGCCAGGGTTGCGCTATTATACTGTCCGTCTGCCTGAGAGCAGGCTTCCTAATGAAACTCACACACCCTCGTGGCAGCTGATTTCTGTGTTAGGAGAAAAGCAATCTTATAGAGCAAATGTGTGAAGAGGCATTTTCACTTGTGAGACTCTTAGCTACGTCTATTTCAGGCAGCTTAGCAGAGGGACTGAAAATTTCCAGATCCAGTCAGGTGGGTCTGCAATGGGATGGGCAGGGGTAGGCCAGCTCCACAGGAGTTTGCCTCGCGGATCAGACCTGTAGGCAGTCCCAGCTTTGCGCACTTTCTTCCTTTTCTCTACTCCTGGGGTTACCGCTTCTCAAAGACACTTCAAGTGAGCAGGGCAGGCAGGCATTACAATGGAAGTCTGGGATGTTTGTGATCTGTCGCTTTCCCATACAGAGATCTCTTCAGGAGGCAGCCTTCCTTTCATTCTTTTCCTGAGTGCACACCAGAATCTGGGCACCTCGGAGACTGCACTTCTGATGCATGTGAACAACCTTTTTTGTGCTCCTACAACAAACAATTTACTTGCCAGGTGCGGTGGAGGGCTTGCTGATGAATAAGACAGGTCCCTGCGCTTGAAAAACTAAAAAATCAATAGTATCCAACTAGCTATAAAAGAAGAAAGACTGTCATAACTACAGCAATACAGATAAAAAGGAAGTGCTTTGCTACAAATGGGTTGTATTAGTTTCCTATTGTGGCCACAAATTTGGCACTTAAAACAACAGAAATTTATTCTCTCCCAGGAGGCCAGAAATCTGAAGTTTTTATGAGTCTTTATGGGGCAAAAATCAAGGTGTAGGGAGGGCTGTGTTTCCTCCCGAGGCTCCAGGGAGAATCCATTCCTTGACTATTCCAGTTTCTAGTGGCTGCCAGCATTCCTTTACTTGTGGCCTCATCACTCCAGTCCCTGCCTCTATGGGTACGTCGCCTTCTCCTCTTCCATTGGTGGCATCTCCCTCTGCCTCCCTCCTGCAAGGATACATGTGATTGATTTAGGGCCCACTAGGATAAGCTAGGATGATTGCCCTATCTCAAGATGCTTAACATAATCACATCTGCAAAGTCCTTTATTACCATATAAGGTAACATTCACAGGAATTAGCATGTGGCTATCTTTCGGGGGGGTCATTATTCAGCCCACTGTAGGTGCCACTCATTCTTCTACACCCTCCCCCAACCAAATGGTCTACCGCTGTGATGTCCAACACAGTAGCCACTTATTGGTAGCCACAATATTGGCAGTCACCTGTGGCTATTGAGCACTTGAAATATAGCTTGTCTGACTTGAGTTGTGCTGCAAGTGTAAAATACTAGATTTTGAAGACGTACCACAAAAAAATGCAAAATATCTCATTAATAATTTTTTATGTTGAGTACACACTGAAATAACATTTCAGATATATTAGGGTAAATGAAATATATTATTAAAATTAGTATCACCTCTTTTTTTTTACTTTTTAAATGCAACTACTAGAAAATTTAAAATTGTATCTGTGGCTTGCATTTGTGGTTTGTACTATATTTCTATTAGGCAGTGTTCTATGTCAACTACAACATTAATTCTCAAACTCTTGCACAGCAGCATCATGTGGGAAGTTTTAAAAACCCCAATATGCAGGCTGCACCCAGACTTATTAAATCAGAAATCTCTAGGGAGAGGCCCAGGCATGAGCATATTTTAAACTCCCCGGGTGATGCCAATATGCAGCCAGGGTTGAGAATCCATGGAGCAGAGACCTGGAGGAGGGGTAATAGTGGAAATAGCATTAATGGTCCAGGGATGATCACAAACGCGTATGCCTGTGTCTTTACAAACAACAGAAAATGCGGGCTTCTGAAGTACTCTCTGCTTTCAGGCTTGCCTCACCCCACCCAGAGTGCAGCTTCCAGTTGGGGGGCGGCGGGGGGGTGTGGGGGGGTGGGCCGGGGCAAAGCATCTGGTTCCATGAGTCAGAAGACACCTGGGATCTCAACACTTTGAGGGTTAGGCTGGCTGAACCTCTCTCCCTTGGGTGTTTCTGGCAGTAAGACCAATCCTTCCCTAGCAGTTTCTGCCATAGTATCTGGCAGAACAAAACACGACAAAGGCCAGCAAGCTCCTGAATGTTTGGTTTGTGGGGCTGAATCGAGGCAAAGCACTTCCGCCATGGTTCACAGTGCGAGCGTGTTTTGGAGGCATCCATCAGTAATACCCACCACCACCAGAGGTTCCTGTTACTACTGGGACTCCCAGCTACTTCCCAGCTCTGCACAAGGGCTGTGTTCCCTGGTTCCAGACTGAGAATTAGGTAACAAAGTTAAAATCCAGTGCCCTTCCATTGAGTTTTGAAGTATTGCCTGGGAAATTGGTTCGTGGTGGAGCAAGATAGGATGTTTCTGTAGCTGCTTGTATTACTTGACACAACACAGATACAATGAGATAAGCCTCAGCCTTGTTCATGCAGTACGATTACTTACATCTGGCATCATCAATGAATAATCCCATCACTTGAGTGTATTCTGCAGCGATTTGAGGCTAAATCATTAAAGCATCATATTATCCCACATTTAAACAACTTTGAAAAATTTTCTAAACTGCACAGCATTCCTCTGACTTCCAAAATAGCATATACTAAACAGTGATTAATATTTTCAAAAGGAAGAGGCCTTGTATATGTGTTGTGGGTGGTGAGGCACTCCAAACAAGTGGGATAAAAAAATTTGGACAAAGGTCTTTAGCAAGCTTGTTCCTCCCCTCTTTCCCTCCTTTCTGTATTGAGAGCTGACTCTAGGTTAGGAAGTGGTCCTTGTCTTCATGGACTTTAGGGGCTAACACAGGGAGAAGACATCAAAGTAAATGAGAGAGAGAGAAAACATTATAGCGTCTATGATTGGAGACCAGACCTCCCTTCCCTTTCTGCCCCTTCCTTCTTCTCTTTTCTGCCTTACATATACATACATACATTCATATATACATGTGTGTGAGAATATATATCAGGTAACTTACAAACATACATAAGGAACAAGGTAAAAAAGAAGAAATTAGGAGGGAGAAATTTGAAAGTCAGAAAATGATGGAATTCTCATCTAAATTGCTGAGGGGGCACACAAGTTTAGACCTGACACCCCAGCAGCCAGTGCAAAGAGGAATACACACCAATTGCATAATCCACAATGTCTGTAAGATTAAAACTAATGAGTTGCCAAGAAACCATATAGAGTGCAGTGTCATAAGAAGGCATTATGGGATATACTCAGCAATATCCTCAATAGCATTTCTAATTGCATCAAGGAGTTCAGTAGGGCATGACAGAAATCCATAGGGTTTGGAGCAAGCAAAAAAGAGATAGTATTAAATTCTAGCTGGAGCTAAACTGTTCTGTTGGTATTGGGCTGGATTAGTCTGAACCTCCACCTATAATTTCCTATAGTTCTAGACTCTGGTTTAGGTGCTGGGCTAGAGGTATGCACTGGATGTTATGGGAGTGAAGAGGGACTCACCTCTGCCTCTGTTGGAGAAGTGTGGGCTGATGCCAGGGATCTGGAGGAGATGATGCCTGTGGAAGGATCCAGTGGGAGTTGTGCAGGGGAAAAAGATAGGGAAGGCATTCCATGCATGAGAGAATAGCATCAGTAGGGCACAGAGGTATGGTGAATGCCAATAGGGAGCTACAAGCAGCTTGGTACTGGTCAAGTATGAAATATGAGGCAAGGTATGGCGGAGGGTGGAGCTGGAGAAGTAGGCAAGGGCCGGACTGTGCCCATCTTATGTGCTCTGCAAAGGAATGTGGCTTTGCTCTGTGGAGCTGTACTGAGATGCCCCTGAAGGGATTTAGGCAGGGGAGTGCTATCTGCTAATGACTGCATTGATGCTACACAACATATCTCCCCAAAACTCAGTGGCATAAACAGAGATCACATATTCTTGCAAAAGATCTGTGAGTTTGCAACAGGAGGGCAGCTCCACTTCAGAGGTCCACTTCAGGTTGCCTGGGATGGCTGTGTGTGGGGCCAACCGAAGGAATACCAGCTACCCAAGGTTAGCTTTTCTCCCAGTGAAGGGTGGAAGTACAGGAAGGTGAGTGGACAAACAGATGTCTCTGGAGGCCTCATCAGAGGAGGTTTACACCCTTGCGAGCACCCACATCCCATTGGCACAGCAAGTCCCATGGCCAAGTACAATATCATTGGGGAGGGGAGGTAAACTCTGCCCCCGCAGTGGGAGCTACTGCAAAGTCACATGTCAGAGAGTGGGATGAATTACACAGGGAGGTTGTGAAGAATGATGAGCAATGATTCTGTCTGCCTTAGGAGTGAAGCAGCTGGACTTGACTTTTTAGATAGTTCATGTGGGCAGTTGTGTGGAAAGCAGATTCAAGAGAGGTGATACTGAAGTCAAGAGGACCAGTGAGGAGAGTCAGGTGAGACCTAGTGAGATCCTGGGCTGGGCAATGGTGAGCTGCGATGGAACAGAGTTAGTTCAAAACAACACATGAGAGGGGCTGGCCTGGTGGTGGAGTGGTTAAGTTGGTACCTTCTGCTTCTTGGTGGCTCCGGGTTCAGATGCAGGGTGCAGACATGGCACCACTTGGCAAAAAGCCATGCTGTGGTAAGTGTCCCACATAGAAAGTAGAGGAAGATGGGCACGGATGTTAGCTCAGGGCCAGTCTTCCTCAGCAAAAAGAGGAGGATTGGCAGTAGTTAGCTCAGGGCTAATCTTCCTCAAAAACAAACAAAAAAACAGCACATGAGATAACACCATCAGGACTTAACGACTTAGAGTCATTTATGGCTGGCTTTTAGATACCTCCATTTACTTACTGTACATAGAGTCCACTGCTGAGGTTGCATACGAAACTGTTAGTTGGCCATCCAATAACTGTTTTCTCACTTCCTAGTAAAAAAACTCTGATTTTACTTAAAAAAAAAAATTTCCTAGCTTCCCCTGCAGCTGGTAGGTGGTCACATGGCAAGCCCTGGCTATTAGGATATAAATGACATTCACTCGGTTAAATTACCAAGAAAACTTTTTAAAGGGGTCTGTGCCCTCTTGCATTTGCTTCTTTCTATCTTCCTACTCTTTCCAATGTAGATGGATGGCTAACGCTCCAGCAGCCATCTTGTGGCCAGGAGGCAACCATGCTAATGATGGCTGAGCAGAGAGAAGGTACCTGTCTTTGTCATAAAGACACCGTACCAGCCCTCAACCACCTATCTTTAGAATATCAGTTATGTGAGAGAAAATAAATGCCTTCTTAGTGATTGTTTCTTGAGTTCATTTTTAGCAGCCAAGTGAAGCTCCCAACACCACACATAACCTTCGCAGCATGAAGCCACATAATTCATGAAATAATTATCCTGAATCAATGACCAAACACAGAAAAATTAAAACCTCATCTAGGTGACCTAGCCCAACAGTAAGCAGCTGCTAGTGTATATAAATTTGTGGAGAAAGTTTTCTTTGGTTTCCTTCTTCCTTGTCCTCCTAACAAAGTCCAATTCCTCCTTTCAGCCATCTATCTGTCTCCTAATATCTACTTAGATGTTACTGATCTGCGAGAGTTAGCCGTGAAGTGCACTCTTGAAGAACAAACCTGTGATGGAGAAAGAAAATAGATGTGGTGGTTCCATTCCCAGATAAGGGGTTGCCCAAATGTAATATCAGTAGGAAGAAAGTCTCATTTCTGCAGGTAACTTGATAAAGCACTTCATGTACATTATTATCTCACTGGCTGCCTGAGGGCCAGTAAGTTTAGAGGACTGAGTCAAGGAGAACTAACAAGTAACAGAGACAAGACTCATATTTTTCTCACTTATATTTTCCCTTCCTGTGCCAAAAGTGGTCTTAGGAATTGTGCTGAGGAGAGCCTCCCGTGTTCGTGAGAGAAGGGGAGGGTCAAAGAAAAGTGGCACTGGACATAGTTCAACAGGCAAGGAAGACTTCATTCAAGACGTTGCGGTAGGAGAGGGAGAGGGGGAGAGAGAGAGAGAGAGAGACAGACAGACAGACAGACAGACAGACAGAGACTGAACTGAAGTCCACTGATGTAAAAGGCAGGAGGCTTTTTAAGCCCTGGGGTGAGCTACTGGAAAAGTCCTGGATGATGATGGGAGTGGGAGGGGGCGTTGGTCAAGGTGACTAGGCCATCTGTTTGCTAATTGGTGCTTATTGTAGTTTGGCTTCTACCTTTGCAGAGAGAGAGAGAGGTGCTCTCTTCCTTGATGATTCCACTTCCAAGGGATGGCTCCCAGGTCCTTGAGAAAGACTTTCCTGGGCGGGAAAACTGGTGAGAAGCTGGGAGATGATTTACATCTCAAGGGAGTAGAGAAAGAATTTACAATGGAAAGTTTTCTAAAGTAAACGCTGTAAGAAGAGGGCGCTCAGGGACTTATGTTAGGAAGAAATCTGTCTAAAGAGTAGTCCAGCTGAGGGGAACTCCAAGGCCATCTAGGTCAGACCACCCGGCCTTTCCTTGCTCTCCAGGAAGCCAGGTCTCAGAAGTCTCCAACTGATCTTCCCTTAACAGCGGGGGACCTCACGATCATCTGGCGAAGGGACTCTGACTTCCAGCCTCATCCAACCAGGTGGAAACGATTCCCTCTGCAGCCTGGTTTTCTGAAGCCCCGTGGGTGTAGATCCTTGCAGTTTTCTGGCCCCATCTCCATCCTGGAGAGGAGAACATTCACCTAAATGACATGCCCAGGACCAAATGCATCCACTTCTTCAGGCGAAAAACACGTTTTCAGCTCAGAGATGATTCCATGAGACAAGAGGGTAGTATCGGGGAGGGGGGAAGAGAATCTTGTAGCCCAAAGACGGAAACCAGGGACAGAGTACCACCTTCCAGAAATTACCATCATAAAGAGCCAAACCAGTGAGTGCTTGGCCGCCTGCGGCACAGCGGAAAACGGAAATCTCCTTGGCTGGCGTTTTAGTTTGCCTAAGGGGCCGCGCTTTGCTCAGAGGGGAGGTGACTGTGCTGACCTTAAAATCCAGACCTCGGGAAGCAGGAGATGAAGGTATTTTATTTTCCCCTAAAGTCTTCGATATTTTTCAAATAAAAATTTAAAAGATCCAGTACCTTCCCCTGAACCCTCTTCACAAAGTAGTGGATTTTTAGAAAAGACAAAGACCTAGGCGGGGGGTAGGGGGTCCCTAAAGAGCCGCGCCTCAAGCCTGTCTTCCCTCTTTTCGGAGCACTGGGATTTTCTTAAACGTTCCTTTCCCAACCCCTCCCCCCCTTTTCTTTTTCCCAACGACCTCTTCTTCCATTCTCTAAAGTACAAGCAGACGGTTGCCCGACAGGTCCTCCTACGCATCTTTCCTGAGCCCCAATACCTCTAGATACTCATCTCTCTTTTGGGTGGGCAGCTGTTGCCCCTGCCTGGGAACGAGCCAGGCGTGCAGGGGGCGGAGGAGGGAGCTTCCTCCCCCACACGGTGGCGCGCGCGAGCCTCCCAGAGCCGGGCGGCCACAGCTTCCCGCCCTGCACCCCCTCCCGCCCCGCCCGCGCCCCGGCGCCGACGGAGCCGCGCCCCCGGCCTTCCCCGGCGGGACAGTGGGGAGCGCGCCTCGGAGACCGGGAGGCGGTCGAGCGGCTGCGGTGTCCCCGGCTCCAGGCCCCTCCTCCTGCCGGTCCAGCCTTTACCCACCAGCCTCCACCCCTCCTCGGGTCGGCTCTGCAATGCAAGGCTTCCCTTAGCAGCATAGGAGCGGCGGCGGGCGCAGCGAACGTAGCAGGAGGAGCGCAGCCGACCGGCCGCGCCGAGCCCTCGGGCAGCAGCTGGAGCAGCCTCGGCAGCGCCGCGGGGCTGGGAGAGGAGAGGAGCCGGGGGCTGCAGCTGGGCCAGGGGGAGGAAAGTGCGCGCGTGTGAGTGCGTGTGTGCGGGAGTGTGGGGGGGGGGGGCGACAGTCTCGAATTAGGGCGGAGGAGAGGGCAGGGGACCCGGGGTGCGGCCCCCTCGGGGCCCCCGCTGGTCCCCGAGGTTCTCTAGCCGCGGCGGCCGATCCCCAGCACCCCTCACCATGGACTTGCGCCGAGTTGGGACGCGCCTCGGTAGCAGCGCGCTGGGGGCGGCCCGGCCCTGGGGGTGCGCGGGCGCGCGCTCAGGGATGGCGAGGTAGGATGGCCGCCCAGCGCGACCCCTGCCGCCCCGACCCAGCGGCCCCCGGGCGGTGCAGCTGACTCGGCCGAGCGCACAGGGGTGTGGGCGGAGGCGGCCCCGCCGCGCCCGCGCCTTCGGGAGTCGCTTTGCCTCTTCCACCCACTCGCACCTGCCACCACGCGGATACCATGTCGAAGGCGGCTGGAAGCGCAGCAGCGGCGGCGGCGGAAAGTTGTCCTTCAGCCTCTGCCAGCCCGTCCGCGGCCGCGGCCGTGGAGGACCTGTCCAAAGTGTCGGACGAGGAGCTGCTGCAGTGGAGCAAGGAGGAGCTGATCCGCAGTCTGCGGCGCGCCGAGGCCGAGAAGGTGAGCGCGATGCTGGACCACAGCAACCTCATCCGCGAGGTGAACCGCCGCCTGCAGCTGCATCTCGGCGAGATCCGTGGGCTCAAGGTGAGCGCTGGGCCGGGTGGGGAGGCTCGGCCCGTCGGGACGGGGAGCGGGACACCCCGGGGAGGTGGGGCCAGGCAAACTTCCCTTCCCTCCATCAACAGGTGATCCTCCCCATTCTCCTGGTCAGCGTCTTCTGTTTTCCATCCTCAGACCTTTGGAAACTTTTCTAAACTTTGGACTCCTTTGGTCCCTTCCTCTTCCCCATACGGGGCGCGCCAGCGTGGAGCTCTCACTCGAGGTCCTCTGGGCCTGAGGAGCGGGCGGTTAGGATGCTGAAAGATAGGGAGGGAGGTAATGGGCACGCGGAACATTTAATTTCCTAGGGAGCCTGGAAAATCAGTGCTTTGGGGAGCCGGGTTACAGCCAGTCCAGGGAAAAGATGAGCAAGGGAGCAAGTCCAAGGCATCTTTGCCCTAGGGCGTTGGGGATACGGCTGCTCTGGCGCCACGTCTTCACCGACAGGCAGAGAGTGAGGAAAGGGCGCCAATGCTAGGGAGACAGGTTGACGGGGCGCCACCCTGGAGCTGGTGTATGTTACCCGGTGCACAGGAGCTTGAGGTCTGCCTTGGCGTTTTCTCCCTGCTCCTCTGCTTTCCTTCTCCCCAGGTTCGGATGGCGTCATCTGGGTTACCCGATCCTCCCATTCACCCCCAGTTTGATTTTAATTTCATCTAGCATGAGAGGGGGCAAAGGGACTCAGTATGGGAGAGGCAGGCTTTTTAAAGGGTACCCCAGGTGTCAGCCAGTGATGCTTTATTTCCAGCCCTCTTTGCTATCAGGAAAAAGAAAAGAAAAAAGCAAAAAGAAAAACAACAAAAATCCCAAACGCCCACAACTTTCTTTTCTCCTTGGAGAGCTCTCAGTGTGCCTGACTGTAGCAGACCAGGGCCGGGAACCGCCCTGCCTGCGTGCACCACAAACTTCTCACCGCTTGCGCTGGTGCCTCTTGGTATTCCTTCCTCTCATTGTTCTTCTTTGTTTATAGGAAGCCAGACACGAACGAAATCATTGCAGGGATCTCAGGGGGCGAATTCCCGCAGGCACAGGCTGTTCTTGTCCCCTTTCCACTCCCACCCCACTTCTCTGGCAGTAGACACTTTCTTAATTGCCTCAGCGCTTCACCTTTGGGATTCTGGTGCAAAGAAGAGTGGGAGGGGCAGAACGCTAGATGCTCACCTGGGTGCTGGGTCCAATCCAGGTGGAGATGGCTCTCCCCCGAGGCCCCAACTGGCTGTCATGTATTCCCTAGCACGGGTGCAGTTAGGAAGATCCCGCAGTCAGAAAAATCCCAAGGCTTACTCTCTCTTTTGGCTTAATTCATTACTAACGGAGTCTTTATTAAGTACCAGACTCTTGGGGGATTAGAGGCAGGCTGGTGTAGTGGGAAGATCATCTCAGAGGTGGGTTTGCATCTAGAATCCTCATTTGCCAGGAGGGTGAGCTTGGATAATTAATTTCTCAGCCTCATTTTACTCATCGATAAAATGCAAATGATAATAAGCATCTCCTAGGGGGGTGTGGCAGTAAGTTATGATAATGTAGGGGGAGGTTAACCACTGGACTTGGCTGCAAAAAATGGTAGTTATGGTCGTCAGGAGAGGATGCGCAAACATATAGCTGTGCATCTCCTGGATGTGGGTTTCTTAGGCACAGCTGGACCAAAGTACCCTCCAATTTAGTCTTCAATGGTTTGAACTATAATGTGTCTTGGACAAGTTTTTAATTAATCAGTTTCCTAGAGATGTTAATAGTATGGCGTATCGACATCATACTTCGGAAATACTTAAGTTCTTTCAGGTTTCATGGATTGCGTGTGTGTGTGTGGGGCCTGCTCTTCCTTCTAGTAGCTTCATTTAGAGAAATACCTATTAGGCCAGTTAAGGGTGCTTACACTCCACCTAGGAGAGTCTCCTTGTGGTCTAGGTTCATGACCTGGCATTAAAAGACTTTCCAGTCCATGTCCTTATCAAGTTCAGAAATAGTGGGGGCTGGGTACTTTCTGAGGCAGCCTCTACTTCTCCTTCCCTTCATCTGGGGGCAGCTGCAGGGTGGCACCTCCAAGGCCCCTGGCCCACCCCTGAGGGGGCTGTGGTGAAGGCCTGCTGAGAGGCCAGCCTTCTCCCTTCTCTTCATTGTCTCGATTCAGCGCTTCCCTGGACACCGTAGTGATCCTTAGAAGTGGAAGACTGAATAAATGATAGCTACATTTATTTTGTTTTGGCTTAACTGGAAGGAAGGGATTTTTTTTTTTTGCCTCTGATGGTTTGGGACTCTCAGTTGAGGACTGTAAATTAAGCCCATGACATTTTTCTTTTTTATTCCCCTTTCTGTGAACTGCCTTTGAAATTGCATCTAAATATTTTCAAAGCTACTAGATGGTACTGCAGCTGTAGACATGGGGAGATGGGAGCATCAGTTCTTTCTCTTTGGGGGGCCTGTGACTCCAAGCACGGGCTGCCTTGTTTGTGTGTAAACATTTAGGAGGTAGTGTGGTGTGGGGCAGTGGAAAGATAAAGGATTTGGAGTCTTACAGTTGGGTAGCTTGGGTAAACTGTTAACCTCTTTGAGTCTCAGTTTTCTCATCTGCTAAATGGGGATATTAATTCCACATGAGATTTGATAAGAATTAAATGATACGTAGATCAAGAAGCCCCAGTGAGGTTAAACAGCTTTCTCAAGGTCACAGAGATATAAAATGTTCGAAATAGGCCGACTATCTTTTCTTTGGGCTACTTGACATTCTCTGGTCGGAATGTGTGGTCCTGAAGTGGGTGGAGAAAGGAGATTCAGGTTAGGGTTCTGATGGTGTAGGGAGTGGAGCCCAGAGAACCATGGCTGTGCACTGCTGAGCGTGTGCCAACACTCAGGCTGCTCGGACCAGGAATTTCGGGAGGTAGGGGCTGGATTCGGGGGAACTGAGTCTCTGTAGATTTGTTATCTGCAGCATATTAATTTTCCTCCTGGCTCCCCAACACACCAATTCCCCGCCCTGCAATGATGAAAAAATAAAACAGTTCTTCTCCGGCCAAAGGTACGGTGCTTGAGAGTCTCATGAATGACATTTTGGGGGGTATGCTGTGAGGTGGCTTTAATCTTTTACAAGTCCACTTTAGACAGATGGATTACATCAGGTGGCTGTGGTAGTGTTAAAAGGACACTTAGTGTTTTGAAAAAGAAAGCCCAAGTCTCAAGGTGGCAGATTTGAAGAAGCTGCCTCACAAGGTTATTGTCAAGCTGGTTGCTTAGCTGTTCACCAGAAGGCAACGGAAATAGCTCAGAATTGGAGAGTAAATAATATTACCAAGAAAACTAATAATAGGAAGAAGGAGCTGTAATGAAGAAAACCGAATGGGCCGACACCTGCCCCTTCCCCCCCAACTGGAATCTGAGAAGTAACGTTTCGCTCCGTGTAGAAAGCACGTTAACTCCTTGAAGCCTTCGGTAGCACAAGTTCTGTTCACTTTCCAGTTCTGGAGAAATCAGGAGTAGTTGTAGTATAGTCACAGGTAAGTATTTTCAGATGGAAATTCAGTTAAATGAAGAAGAACATGACTTGGACTTTCTATGAAATGCCAGGATTAAACTAATTGTAGAATAATTTTTGAAGCTTAGAAAGATTAATTTTGATTAGTATTGTTTTCTCAGAATATCCACAGTTTCCGATTTCCCCTAAAGCATCAGTGTCAAGGGGTAATTTAGTCCTTTATTACTGTAGACTCCAACGTAGTGGGGACTTGCTGAAAACATTAAGAAGTTCTTTCCGGCAGCTAGAGTTGTATGCTGTTTTGGCCACAGGCCTAGGGCTTTGAAGGGTTGGTCAGTCCATAAACACATATTAAGTGCTTACTGTATGCAAGACACCCTGCTGGGTGTGTTGAGTATGCAAAGAAAGACATTAGAACGGACTCTGCCCCCCAGAAGCTAAGATATCTACAATAGAAAAG